AATACGAGACTAAGATTAAGGCTTTACAATCGATGGACCCGGAGACTCGTAAGATTTTGAGTATGGATGCCACAAAAAGGAAATCGGATTTTCAGGTATCCGAGGATGGAATTCTAAAGTTCCGTGGACGGTTATGTGTACCCAGTGATACAGAACTGAAGGAAGAGATTTTATCTGAAGCACACCGTAGCAATTACAGTATTCACCCGGGTAGTACGAAAATGTATCAGAACTTGCGACAGCATTATTGGTGGAACGGCATGAAAGTGGACGTAGCCAAGCACGTGGCCAAGTGTTTAACATGTCAGCAAGTGAAGGCACAACATTGTAAGCCGGGTGGAATGTTGCAGCCATTGGAAATCCCTGAGTGGAAATGAGAACACATCACAACGGACTTTGTAATGGGATTGCCGAGAAGTCAAAGGGGTCATGATTCGATCTGGGTGATAGTTGATCGGTTGACAAAATCAGCACATTTTCTACCGGTGCAAAAAGATTTCGCCTTGGAAAGGTATGCCGATTTGTATGTGCGACATATAGTCCGTCTCCATGGAGTACCAGTAACGATCACTTCGGACCGTGATCCTAAATTTACTACCGCCTTTTGGAAAAGTCTTCATATGGCACTAGGAACGAAGTTGCAGTTTAGCACGGCCTACCATCCCCAGACGGATGGCCAGTCTGAAAGGACGATTCAGACTTTGGAGGATATGCTGCGAGCATGCGTTTTAGATTTTAAGGGTGGTTGGGAGGAACAGCTACATTTGGTTGAATTCGCCTACAATAATAGCTATCAGCAGAGTATCAGAATGGCACTATTCGAAGCACTATATGGCAGAGTTTACATAACACCGGTTTGATGGGATGAAGTGGGTGAGAGGAGCATCACGGGTCCCGAGTTGGTTCGGCAGTCAATCGGAACAGTTAAGGTGATTTGGGAATATCATGGGACTGAAGGTGCGACACGGAAAAGGGAAGAGTTGATGCGACACCAATACCCCCCATTTGTTTGAATAGTTGGGTTGGATTGTAAATTTCGAGGACGAAATTTTTGTAAGGGGGAAGAGTTGTGACATTCCGAATTTTGACCCATTTTTGGGATTTATAGAACGTATAATTCGTCAGTGCGCTTATAATAGAATCTCGCCCGGGAACTGATCACTCTCGGGTTCTTGTTTTAAAAATAGAGATTTTGCTAGAATCGCACTCGATCGAATTTGGCCGTTATTTAGAGCCCAAACTTTGGTGTCGAATTTCTCGGAGTTCCGGGAAGAATTTAATTGGACGGTGTCGATATTATTGTGGCCAGCGTCGGTATTACCCGGAGTATGTGAAAAGTGGATTTTTGACCGGGTGCGGATTTGGACTGGTAGACCTCCCTCGTGGTGTGTTTTGGCTTATTTTATTTTGGCCATTTTCCTATATTATTAATTAGGATTATTGGGGACCGTTAGATCATTTTCGGGTTTAAACCGTGTCCGTTGGATCGCACTCGAGTGAGAGGTTTGACTTTGAGTCTCTCTCTCTCTCCTCTCTCCTCTCCTTCTGTCGTGCCGAGACTCCCCCTGCCCGCACGTCTTCTCTTCTCTCTTCCCCGTGCGTCTGTCCCATCTCTCCTTCCTTCTCTCTTCTCTCTCTCTCTCTCTCTCTCTCTCTCTCTCTCTCTCTCTCTCTCTCTCTCTCTCTTTTCCCCTGCATGCAATGTCCATCACGCACGCACACTTTCCCCCCCCCTCTGACACACCCCACTCTCCCTCTCTCTCCTTCTTTTTCTTCTTTCTTTCTTCTTCTCTCTCTTCTCTCTTCTCTTTTTTCTTCCTCCCCCAGCCGATTGGTTCTGCGTCGTTTCTGCCCATGCTCGCCGGCTTCCATTCGACCGCCCATCCACCTCCGCCCGACGCCGACCACACCAGCCGCCGATGCAGCCGTCCTCCCCGCGCCGTCGTCGCGCTGCCGCGTCGCCCGGTAGCCCCGCCCGACTCTGCCTTCTCCTTCTCCCGAGTGCGTGAGCTCGGCTCGCCGCCGTTCCCGCTGCCGCGAGTCGCCGCCGCGTCGCCTAGCCGTCCCCGCTCGCCGCTGCCGCGCCAGCTCACCCGTCGCCAGCCTCATCCGGCCAGCTCGCGCCGATCCGCCACCCCCTCGCCCCAAGGCCCTCCTCTCTCTCTCCCTCTCGCCCCACCCCGCCGACATCCACCCTCCCGCTAGCGCCGTCGCCGTCGCCGTAGTCGCGCCACCGCCGGTCGCCACTCGACCAGCTAGCCTAGCTACCAACTGCCAACGGCCAATGTGCCGGCCGTGGCCAAGTAGCTCGGGCCAGCCCGGCCGTAGCTAGCAGAACCAGCCGAGCCAGCCCGGCAAGGCCGAGCTCGCCGGCGCCGTGCTCCGTCCGACTCAGCGCTGCGCGCTCTCGACTCGGCGCAGGCGCGTCGCCCGTCCGTTCGCACGTGCGCCCCCGGCACGCCGCACGGCCACCGCGCCCGCGCGCCAGGCACGCCGATCGGCCATTGTGCCCGTGTTGGCCGGCCACCGCGCCCGTTGGCCCACGCCCGCGCCGGCCCGATGACATCGTTCACCCGGCCATTTTGGGCCCGAGCCGACTTTTCCCGGTCAAACTTAGGTAAGTGACTTCCTAAACCCTACCTAGTGCTTTGGGTATTTTTAGACTTGTTTAGGGTGAAATTTAGTACCGGCTTAGGAATTTAATTAGACGTGGACTAATTAGACTGATTGTGCTTAATTGGTGAATTATTGTGGCGATAATTGTGCGGCTGATTTAGTGATTGACTGAGATAAATATGCCTGACTGAATTGCCGTGGCGCTTGTGGGTGAATTGGATTAATTGAATGTGCCGACTTGAATGTCGGGTCGGTGGACCGATGTGGGGAGTGTGAATTAAATTGGTTGTTAGAGTGTGTCAGATTGACATTGGTGTGAGCTTGGTAATTTGATTGTGAAATGTACGACGTGTTAGATGACAGATTGTGTGGTGGTGCATGTGCATGAGAGAAATGTCCTGAGGTGTGGTTACGCGGGACTGAGCCCGGCTTTATCTGAGGGCTGCCAACCTGAGGCGTGGTTACGCGGGTGTGGCTAGAAAGGCAAGGAATGACCTGAGGCGTGGTTACGCGGGTCGAGAGAAATGTCCTGAGGCGTGGTTACGCGGGTCGAGAGAAATGTCCTGAGGCGTGGTTACGCGGGACTGAGCCCAACTTTATCTGAGGGCTGCCAACCTGAGGCTTGGTTACGCGGGTGTGGCTAGAAAGGCAAGTAATGACCTGATGCGTGGTTACGCGGGTCGAGAGAAATGTCCTGAAGCGTGGTTACGCGGGACTGAGCCCGGCTTGATCTGAGGGCTGGCCTGAGGCGTGTTGACGCGAGCCGTGTGAAAGGACCTAGGAGGTCGTGAGAAAGTTGCTCGGCCACGTATGCGAATTGAGTGTGATTAAATTGGCTGGTTGAATTAGTTGGAGTGATTGAGTGAAAGCGTGGTTGGTGTTTGAGCGATTTGTGATGTGTTATTTAATTACTATTATTGCATTATCACGTGACGACTAACGTGTAGAGTTGGCATGGGCTTGATGCCGAGGTAAGTACAATGATGCGAATTTTATATGTTATGGGGTAGATTGCATGTATGACTTGTCTGGGTACGCATTGGCCTACGTGGGGTTTAGGGGGGTTGCTTATTGAGACTCGTTCTCACGGTTATTATATAACCATTTCAGATCCGCGACCGTAATCGATTCGGAGATGCCGCCAGAGCACCACAGGGATTGAAGAATAGATTATTTACCCTGTCTTTTGAGTACCTTTTGTAGAGGAGATAAGCTTGTCAACCACCGCCCCCTTTTGAAAATTGTGATTCTAAATTGGTAGCCCGAGTTATCGTTTTGTATAGTGACTACTTTATGATGGTATGCAATTATTGTTTCGTGCTATCCCTTTGTCATTGTTTATTGTCTGGGTTAATTAATTTCGCTCCCGCTTGCCTTTATTGTTGGGTGTTTCGTTTGGGTCGGCGACGCGTCCTGGGACGTCGCGTTCAATGATCGACCATTGAGGGATGACCGCGCACTCGTAGGGTGTGGGGCGTGACAAAAATGGCAAATGACTAAAATACCCCTCTCTCACATTTTTGATCCAACGGTCTAGATTCGATCTAATCTTGAAACCGACGGCCCAGATCGAATCTTACCAAAAATATCAAGGGTATACTTATAATTTCTCAAAAAGTCCAAGGGCAAAATTGTCTTTTCTAACTTTTAGGGAAAAATTACCAAAATGCCCTTGCCCTTTAAAACTAACCCTTTAATAAATTACAAGGGTAAAATGGTCACTTTCTCCGTTTCTCGCCGAAATCGAACTTTTCTGAAAAATCCGAAGAAATCCAGAGATGTACGTTCCAATTACAACGTCGTCCAAAGGCCCTACCGTGACTTTCCGAATTTTTTGACGCTCGGTTTGGTCTCTACTCAATATTCCAATTATATATTCATAACGTAACTCAAGCGTTTCTCAGACTAACGGGTGGCTTTTGGGAAATTCGCCTGTACGACCCGTGACTGATACTAAATCTAGTCACGTACAATTTATTCAGACCGTAATGACTTCGGTTGTCATTAAAATCGCGATGATCAATTGCTAGATCCGAGGGGCACGATCGTTTGGTATAGGTTCGAATCATTCGTCAAGTCATTTCGCGGTCCAATGGAATCACCCGCGATCCACTACTATGACAAAGGGCGAGCCGACCCCTAACTATCCTTGGATCGGCCAACAGTGGCTCAAAATATCACCTCGACGATTTTATGGTCGAAAGTCCATTCACGATTGAATTATCTTTAGTCGTACGAATTTTAAATCCCTAATTAGCCTTTCCCTACTGGTTAGTATCCCAGGAATGATCAGTTCCGGGTGAGAACTAGCTACGAGCACATTAATAAAATAATTCATTTCATAAATCCCAAATGAGCGAAATTTCGGAATGTCACATGAGTCCTCACCGTCTGTGTTGAGACGACTGTTGTCACGTTCCAGGCTCCTTCCAACGAGGACCACGTCTACTTGATTGGAAATGCGTTCTTTGGTTATGGCGCGGCTGCCATGATTGTCGGCGCCACTGCCGGTACCACGGAGCGGCCCATCTTTGAGATAGTTTTTGCTTCGCAGGAGTTTGTGCCGGGCACTGATGGCGCGCTGAACGGTCGTTACCGTGAGATGGGCCTCACCATGCAACTGTCTGAGAAGGTGCCCGCGGTGATCGCAGCCCATCTGGAAGGTTGCTTGACGAAAGCTTTTGGCTCCGCCGGCATCAACATTGACTGGAACTCCATTTTCTGGGCTCCACATTCCGGTGGACGGAAGATTCTTGACAACATAGAGGCAACACTCGGGTTGGGGCAAGAGAGACTAAGAGCTGCGAGGCACGTCCTCGAAGAATATGGGAACATGTCGAGCGTGAGCGTTCTCTTCATCTTGGATGAGATTCGGAAGAAGTCCGTCGAGGAAAAAAAGGCCACCACCGGAGAGAGAATGGACTGGGGGATCCTCCTAGGGTTCGGCCCGGGCATCACCATTGAGACCGTCAATCTACGGAGCTTGCCCGCCAACATTAACGTTGCCGCCTGAAGTGGAGACATGCATGCATTTACTTTTGTTTCACCGAACGTGAATTTGCTAGAATAATGTTTTTCATGGAACTTATTTTCATGAAAAATAATTTCCTTGTACTATGTTTGACTGTTTTTTGCAAGTAATATGAGAGTCATTTCTGATTTTATTACATGAAAATTATGAAACCCGCATTTGAAAAAAAATTTCGATGATCCTAGGTCTCAAGTTCGAGCAATAAGAACTTGGGCTGAGCGCTAGAGTCCCAATCCTGACCTCGAGGGCTCAAGCTCGACTAGTAGGGTCCCATGCCTGGGTGCGGTGATACAAACCCCGCCAGCTCGGGGGATCCAGGACTATCCTCAAACTGGTACATCTATGATAATTTTACTCCAAACTAATGTTTTGACTACCAAAAACCCCAAATTGGTACATATGTGACAATTTTATCCCAAATTAATTTTTTTACCTCTAAAAACTCTAAACTAGTACACATGTGACAAATTTCAGGCATGGACGCTGGAGTCCCAAGCCCGAGCCCGACACATGGGCATTCGGGCCAGTTCTCAAGAGACGCAAGCGTGTTAGTCAGATTCTCGGGCATGAAATGGGAGAATTGGAACGACGGGGATTAAATGCAATTCTTGTTTGTCGACGGCACTCCGTTGGCATCTAAAATTGGACTGGGACAATTAACTATGTCAAAAACCAGCCAAAAAAATTTAACTTATGTAAAAAAAAATTAACTCGGTCAAAAAGGAAAATTCCTTCTTAAAAGTGCCCACGTCCACTCAAGATCCACGAACTTTTTGCACCCAAATAAAACCCATCCGTCCATGAAAAGCTAAACGAGTGAATTCCTTTTTTTCTCACAAGAATAGTCTACGAGGAGAGGTGCATGTATCCTATATTTGATGCATTTGCAACTTATCGGCAACAACATTGTAACACGATCCAAAAATGAATTGATGACAACAAAAAGAGGTGCAACAGTTGACACTACGAGAGATCAACAAGAAAAGGAAAGATTATTTGCAATCGTTTTCTTAATCAGAGGAGATTCATATGCCTCAAAGGTAAATTTGTCGTCGGATTTGCCAATGAGTGCTCTTCTTGTGTGTTACGTGGAATCGATGTTTTAAATATTAGAATAATTTCTATAGAATATGTCTAGTATATGCTACTACTCCTTTTCAATCTCAGCTCGTCAGCAAGATCATTTGCGAAATAACTATATGGAGAGAACAGAAGTGACGGCACTTTGGAGTTGGAACAAAACCTTTAGATTCCATAACGAAACGTTATTCCTGAAGCTTTACTGCTGCAACTTGGTAAGGTAAGGTTGCTTCTGTATTGCCTCTTTGTGCATCAGAAGAATCCTCAGGATATGGCCCCCGTAACAGTGAGTTCAACCTAAACCGGTCCTTGTGTGGATGGAGCACTGAAATTGACTCTGACCTATCAACTAACATGATCAATTTCTTGGTAGGACTGTTAACCAGACACCAAACTTAAGACAACCTATACGTTCCAAGAGCAGCCTTTTCCCATCAACCAAGGTCACGTTCCGTCTCTTTTGGAAGATGGTTTTGCAGAAGTAAAAGGGCTCTTTCCTTGGAGCTTCTATGATTTTTCGAAAAACCATCCTCGTAACACTTCATGCTCAAGTATATTTTCTCACATTTCTCGTATTGAGTGTTGTAACACGCAAATCCTAAAAAGGAATGACGGGCCGAGGTGTCTTTAAGAATCCCCGGTCCTTCACTAGATACAGATAAAAATGTACCCAAAGATATGCTCTGGGAACTATCTTCAATTAGTTCAACTGGCTATTCATGTGTCATTACAAAGTACACTGTTCTTCACCCACAACTATGTACGACAAGATCACATGGAAAGTTCTACGTCCCAGAGCGAAAGAGTACCAAAATCAAAGCTCAAAAATGCCCGCAAAGAAAACATAGGAGGGTGAGTAAAATTGTGAAACCACCTATTAATAACAATGTCAAAACCTGTTATTAAGCAATCGACGCCTGCCTCTTTAATTCTTCACATACAGCGGCGGTTCCATTGCAGTGACAAATGCTGTCCCCTCGTCCTCGACCAAACTATGTCCCTAAGCGCAGCATCTTCACAGGATATCACATACTCCAACAAGTTGCCAGCTAATTTGCAGATTTTGTCCGTTCCCTGCAGTCTCATGTTGAAGTCCTTTAAGCTGACGACCTTGAAGCTTAACTCCTTCACAGGCTCCTCGATCTTCGACGTGATCGCGGTCACTGAGCACTTGGAGGTGAACAAGGACCTGGCCTTCTGCTTCGTCTCAAAGAGGCTTGAAAGGTCAAAGCCAGACGACATCAGCAAGATGAACTCGAATGCATCGAAGAATTTCGGCGACCGGATCTTTTCAGATTTAATCGACCCTGAATTCAGATACACGTGAACATTTGTTTGTAGAAATTGCAGATTATTTAGGGACCCCCTACTTAACGTGTTATGTGCGTCAGTTTTGCATATTTTCATTGGCAGGTTAGGTAAAGCTACCCCATCCCCTTGTTTCGGATGCTTTTATCTTTATATAACGGGAAACCTAGTCATTCTGATCGCCTACAAACAAAGCACTTGTTTCCTTCTAAACTTTGCTTCTTCACTCAAGTCACGTATAGACAGAGACTGTGATGGCATCTTTGGCGACCAATGGTGGGGACGAGTAGATGGTGAAAGTGATAGATAATTTGAAGGTGGAAATCGCTAACAACTTACACCACAAGAAGGAGACGAATAGGTTTTTTCTTTTTTATATCATCTTATTTCACCTTATCAGTAACATTAAACTAGACATAGAAATATAAACAGACTCTTGAAAGCAATACTAAAATAAAAACATTATCAATTCATGCACCAGGCTTGGAAGCCAAACAGACATCGACATCAAACTTGTAAATTAACAACTAGGTAGCCGATCGAGAATTATGAAATCAACAACTTGTCTAATGAATTGATAACCTTTCCGCGTAATCGAAAACTTCAACTTATTAAATTGTAGCCAAAATGGATTTCGTTTAATTATTAACACTCCCCCATAAACCAAATTCTCTTCCATCAATCATTCCAAGCAGACTTGTGAATTTTCGAAATGCATCGATCTTTAGAGGTTTAGTAAAAATATCTGCTATTTGATCTCCATCTTCACATGTCACACTTCAATGCCCTTCTCTCTCACTTGTTCTTGAATAAAGTGATATCGAACATCGATATGTTTGCTTCATTCATGAAAAACTGGATTTTTTGCCAAAGCAATAGTAGAAATATTATCAACAAAGATCTCTATTGCTTTCTTCTGCTCCATATGAATTTCTTTGAGTAGTCTTAATCATATTGCATGACAAGCATATAAAGATGCTGTTAGGGAAAATTATCCAAAAAGTCCTAAACTTATTGCACTTTTGTCAATTCAGTTCTAAATATTTTAAGTTTATCAATTATATCCTAAACTTTTACACTTCTTGCCAATTGAGTCCTAAACCTTTACACTTCTTGCCAATTGAGTCTATCCAGCCAATTTTGGCTAGAAATCGTTGACGTGGATGCTGGCTGGCCACGTGGCGTTGATGTGGATTTTTTAAATAATATTTTAATAATTTAATGAAATTTTTATGGCTTTTTCTCTCTTTTTTCCCTTTTCTCTGTTTTTTTTTTAGGTTTTAGAGTTGGCTGGCGAGGGTCGGCGACCCTCGCTAGCCACAGGCGAGGGCCAGCTGACCCTCACTGGCTCTGGGCAAGGGCCGCGACGCCCACGCCAAATTTGGCTAGGCGAGGGTCGGTGGCCCTCGCCAGCCCCAGGCGAGGGCGTGGGACCGCCAAGCACCTCGCCTAGGGCCGGCGAGGGCTCGCGCGTCCTCACTTTGGCCGGTGAGGCCATTGCGGCCCTCGCCCAAAGCCAGCAAAGGTCGGCCGGCCCTCGCCTGTGGCTAGCGAGGGTCACCGGCCCTTACCTATTGCCGGCGAGGGTTGGCTGGCCACTCTCACCGACCTACTCTAAAACCTTAAAAAAAAAATAGAAAAAAGGACAAAAGAAGAAGAAAAAACATAAAAAAAAATTCAGAGAATTATTAAAATATTATTTTAAAATGTCCACGTTAGCGCCAGATAGCTGGTCGGCATCCACGTCAGCGATTTCTTATCAAAATTAGCCGGATGGACTCAATTAGCAAGCAGTGTAAAGGTTTAGGACTCAATTGGTAAACTTGAAACGTTTCGGACTTAATTGGCAAAAGTGCAATAGGTTTAGGACTTTTTTGACAATTTTCCCCTACATATTTAGCTTCGCATGTCAAAAGAGTAACGCTAGGTTGGTTTTTTATGACCACGTGAAAGCAGTGTCACACAAGAAAAGTACAAAGCTTGTAGTGCTTATTCGATCATCAATATCTCCACCATTATCACTATATGAATAGGCTCTAAGCTAAAAGAATCGAGATGATAGTAGCATAAACCATGAGTACCAACACGTTTGACGTAGCAAAGTATTCTCTTTGCAGCTTTAAGATGAGATGACTTTGGTTTCTTCATCTATCGACTCACAATTCCAACACTATACATGATATCCAGTCTAGTACATGTCAAATATCTCAAGCTTCCAATCAAGCTTCTATAGTACATTGAATCAACATCGACACCATCATTAAACTTCAAAAGCTTGGCTCTGCACTCCATTGGTGTATTGACCAGTGAACAGTTCGTCATATTGAATTTTTCAAGTATGCTTTATGCATAACTTTTTTGCGAAATAAAAATCCATATGCACTTTGCTTCAC